GATCATGTTCCTGAAACAAGGCTTTATTGTGCTTCCGAATCTATCCTCAGAAAGTTTTGGTGCGCGATGTTGTAGGTCACCACTAGCGGTTAAAGTTCGTATGGGGCATAGTTGTGAGCAAAACGGATTAATTTTGACTACTCTCAGAGCGGAGGTGAAAAGCAACAAATGATTCGCCAGTTACGATCCCCGAATGAAATTAAATGATGCCGATCTAACGAAACCCATAGAAACCCTAAGAAGACGGCAAATAAGTTCTCTAAGGTATAGCTTAACATCATATCCTTATAGTGAACTACAACTGGAGCTACGTGGCCTGTCAGATCGTCAGATCGAAGTAGATGTCACCTAACGGAAACGGTGCAGTGACAACTATACCCAAAAATAAATTGAACTTTTAGGGGGTGGTGAAAAATCAGTCTCCTATTCTGCGAGTAAGAATCTTTTCCAAGGAGCGCTTTCTCTTTCCCCCAATCGATCCTTTTAATCCGCACGCGCTCCCCGCCACAATAAGTAACAGTTGGAAAATTTAGTGCATTCATTAACTTATAAAAGGTTTACAAGTGTATCGAGCTACCTAGAATATGACCGAATTCATAGTGGTAAAATAATGACTATGGGAAGCAAAACCAATTTAGTAAAGAACTGTACTAACTCATTTATTGGATCTTGAAATATATCTGGAGCGTAAACCATGCAACAAACAACACCTCCTATCATAATCACTTTCATCAGGCAATTGGACTTACCTTCACCAGTTCTTCTTGATTTTCAAACTGTAGTGTACAATCACCCCAGTGACAAGCGGTTTCCACGAAATCCGGATCCCCCTCTTGAGGCACTCTTCCGTCCTCATCCAAATCCTCATCCTCGTCACACTCACCTTCCTCACCCTCGGACAGTATACCACCATTCCCACTCACTTCTCGTGTGGCGGATTTTTTATGTCCCGCAGAATCATCAGTTGACCAAAATTCCGGGGCCTCATTTCGCTCTTGTTTCATTCCACCCCGTGATGAATGACACGGAGTTTCCACATTGGTCCCTTTCACGGTCGTACCCGCCATATCGACCATATCACGATAGGATGCATTACCTTGATTCATGGCACAGTGTTGTCGTAGCAGATCACGTGTCAGTGGTGGATACGACGGGGTTTTCACGCCTTTAG